GTCTCTCCTCTCTCTCTCTCTCTCCCTCTGAGAACGGAGCTGGAGACAGGATCCTGCGATCCCAAATAAAGGACGATCGATCGGGAGGAAAACGGGGTGGCGGATTTTCCTGCAGACATTTTTGGGGGATTTTCCCAGGGTCTCTGGTCCGCGGGATTTAACATTTATGAGTTTGGTGACTCCTGAGGTCCCAAAGGTTCTGGAGACCCCTGCTCTAAACTGGCCACGCCCAATTCCTGCAACCATTCTTCATAGGTCTTGGTCATGGCCGTTTCCAAACCAGACTTAAGAATTCCAAATGACCCCACAACCAGCTGTAACTTTAAGTCGGACTCAGCATTCCCCCAAATATTGACAAGCCCCCCCCCCCCCCCCAAGAGGCTCCCTGCATCCCACAGCCCTGAGCTTTGAGGAGGGGGTGGGCTTCCTTTGCCCAACTGACGGTTTCTTAGTGACCCCCCCCCAAAGAAAGTGGCAGCTTCTCAGCTTGCGCCACACACGCCCCAAGGAGCCCCCCCCCCCCCCCGGCCCCCCCCCCCGGGTTGCCCCTGCCTAAGAAGGAAGGCTCAGCTTTGACGGGTGATGCACACAGGCAGATTGTGCGGGATGTAACACAACCACACAATGTCTGATCATGGGGGTCTGCAGGGGGACGGAGAGAAAGTCACACCCTCGGATGGCACCCATCAAAGCTGGGCGTGGTTTTCACGCCTGTTGTGTTCGATTGCAGGGCGGGGGGGGGGCTGGGGGTGGGTGTGGACTTTTCGAATCACACCTGGGAAAACTTTCCAGAAGAGATCGGGCTGTCATTTGTCAGAAATGGAGTAGGGTCTCCTCCTTGGGCGGGGGGGGGGGTTGGACTAGATGACCTCCAAGGTCCCTTCCAACTCTGAGGATCAAAATCAAATCACACGTCCGAACACAACCGACTCCCCAGAGGAACACAGCGGGGCACAAACGGAAGCCCCCACCCCCAAAGCTGCCCCCGCAAAGCAGTTCTTTCGGGAACCCCTCCCCCGCCCCACTTTGGAAGACCCTTCCCCAAATGCAAAAGAAGAGAAGAGAAGAGGGGCTTAGGGAAAAGACGCCCCCTCCCCAGTCTCCGCCCCCCCAGGCATTAGGGGGAGCAGAGCCTGCTCTTTCCAAAGAGGGTTGCCCACCGAGCAATTTTGGGGGGTGGGGGGTCCCTAGAGGTTTGGGGGGTACGAAAAGTCCAATGACAATTCTTGGAGAAAGCAGGTTTTCTATTCCCTCCGCCGCCCCCCCCTCACATCAAACCTGGTCCCAGAGCCCTTTCGCAACGGCGGGATCCCCCTCCCCTTCTCCCACCAAGACGGCCAAGGGGGAGGGTCCCCCCAGGAGAGACCCTCCCACAGAGTCTTTGGCAGCCCTCACCCCCTCCCTCGGTTCCCCCCCCCCCCGGGTGAAGGACCGAGCCCCAAAGAAATGGGTCTGGGGGTCTTGGCCCAAGGATGTTGGGATCTGGGAACGAGGAGCGGTGGGGAGGGGGGTGATCTGGGGGTCGTCCCGGAGCCCCCAATTCCTGCTGATCTTCAGCGCCCCATTCTTGAGTTGGGGGGGAGAGGGGGACTAGAGTTCCCACCCAAAACGAGCCCCCCACCCCCCAAGCAAGAGGGGGGGGGACTTCCTCGAACAATAGGGGAGGGGGGAGACCCTCCACTGCCCCCTCAGCTGCGGAGGGAGGGGCGCTGCCTCCAGAGTCCGGGGGGGGCGGGGGGGACACACGGGACGACATCCTAGCGGGGGAGTCGAGGGGAAAAAGCTTCAGCTAGTCCGTCCCAGAGTCCGGTTCTGCCGAGTCCAGTCCGGCTGCCCCTCTTGCAGCCACCTGGCCAGTCGAGGCTCCCGGACCCCCATCGGGAGGGGGGGGCGTGGAGGGTGTGTGTGGGGGGTCCGCGCCGCATCAGGGCCCCCCGCTGTAGGAGTAGTCGGCCTTGTTGTGCATCACCAGCTTGTTGTCCACAAAGTAGAAACTGTCCGACTGCGTCTCGTAGGGGTGCCGGACCATCTCCTGGACTGGGGGAGAAGCGGGGGGGGGGGGGGGGGGGGCGGGGGGGGCGGGGGGGCGCCCCACCCCAAGCGCCCCCCCCCCCCCCCCCCCCCCCCCTTGCTCACTGAGGTCCTCGGAGAGCTGGGGGAACTCGTAGATGTGCTCGCAGGTGTTCTTGGAGGACGGGATGCAGAAGCCGAACTGGAAGTCGAAGCTCTTGAGCAGCCGGTCCCGGAAGTAGTGCCTCTCGATCATGCGGAAGTGGCTGATGGGCTTCTCCCCCACCGTGAACTCCACCCTGCGGAGGGAGGGGGGGGAGGGAGGAAGGAAGGAGGGAGAGGGAGGAAAAGGGGGGGAGTGGAGGGGAAGCAAAGAGGGAGGAGGGAGGGAGGGAGGGAAGGGAAGGAAGAAGAATAGAGAGAGGGAGGAAAAGAGGGAGGGAGGGAGGGAAGAAAAGAGAGGGAGGGGAAGCAGGGAGGGAAGAAAAGAGGGAGGAGGGAGGGAGGGAGGAAAAGAGGGAGGGAGGGGAAGGGAGAAGAATAGAGAGAGGGAGAGGGAGAAAGGGAGAAAAGAAGAGACGGGCTCTCATTCCCAGCTCCAACCAAGCCGGGATCAACTCCCACCGTTGCCCCTAGTTTGCACATCACCTCCAGATCCTACAGTTTGCAATCCCTGGCAGGGACTGGCTCCGCGGCAGCACTCGCATTCAGAGCCCTGGCAGGGTTGGGCCCCGCCTGGAGTGGGGGGGCTGGGGGCCGGTCTACAGAGGGAAATTCTCAGCCGTCCTTCCGAAACGTTGCCAGGCAGCCTAACCCCCACCCCCCTCCGGCCCAGAATCCCCCTGAGCGCGAAAGAGGGCCAACCCATGGCGAGTGCACAGATCCCACCTGGGAATGATGGGAACTGTAGTCCAGGACTCCTGGAAGGCACCGTGAGCCCAGAAAGTGGGGGTTGCCCCACCCCTGGAGGCTTTCAGGGAGAGACTGGAGGCAGCCATTCGTCTGGACCGGTCTGGGGTCGGGCTAGATGACCTCCAAGGGCCCCTTCCAAGGGTGCAGGGGCAGGTGGGATAAAGCCAACCCCACCTCCCTTTCCACCCCAAAGGCGGATTCCCTGCGGTGACGGCCCCGGCACTTACGTGGCTCCCACTTGCCGCAACCGCAGGAACGCCGGGGTGAACTGGTAGCGCACGAAGCGCCCAGCGTTGGGGTCGCCCTCCTTCTTCCCGCCACGCTCCCGTTCTGGCAGGAGGCAAGAAGAGACGAAGCCCGGTTGCCCCGTGGCTGGAGGGGGGCCCCCACCCTGCGCTCCCCCTTTTGGAAGGCCATCCTGGCACGGACCTCGCCCAGCCGATCTGCACCCACCCAACACACCCCGTCTGCACATGGGATGCCCTGGCATGGCGGGACTGGCACGGCTTCTCTGTGGCACCAGAGACGGAGCCCAGCAGGGTGGGATGAGGGTCTAAGCCAGGGCAGTGCGACCGTGGGCACCTCAACTCCTCCCATTCTCCCTCCCTCCTTCCTCTCTTTCCTTCCTCTCTCCCTCCCCTTCTTTCCTTCCTTCCTCTTTTCTGTCCTCTTGCCCCCTCCTTCCTTCCTTCCCTTCCTCCATTCCCCTCCCCTCCTCCCTCTCTCCCATCTTCTTTCCTCCCTCCGTCTCCTTCCTTCCTCCCATCCACCTCTTATCCTTCCTCCCTTCCTCCCCTTCCTGCCCTCCTCTCCTTCCTTCCTTCCTTCCTTCCTTCCTTCCTTCCTTCCTTCCTTCCTTCTTTCCTCTCATCCACCTCTTATCCTTCCTCTCTTCCTCCCCTTCCTGCCCTCCTCTCCTTCCTTCCTTCTTTCCTTCCTCCCATCCACCTCTTATCCTTCCTCTCTTCCTCTCCTTCCTTCCTTCTTTCCTTCCTCCCCTCCCTCGCTCCCTGACCTGGCCTAAGAGACCCACAGCCCTGGTGGGGCATGGAAGAGACCCCCATTAACCAGGATCGGCCGCTCTGGCTACCAATGTTGGGGTCCCAGGGGCAAAACCATTTTTTCCCCATCTGTCCTATTTGACCCACTCAACATTTATGGCTCGAAGGGAAAACCGGCAAGGAATTTCCCCACCCAAAATACATCCGAGGCCACTCTCTCTGCCACAATCCTCCCCGTGTGGCCAGCACAGGTCACCCTCCACTTGCAACCGTTCGCTTAGTGGCTGTTTGAGACTGATTTTCACACTGAATGACCATCGCAGCCTCCCCAGGGATTGAAATTCGGACTTAGGACGGTGGCCAGGTCACGTGGTCCGTCTTTTGGGGACTTTCTCCCAAGCCAAATCAACGGGAGAAGCCAGACTCACTTAACAACCCTGTTAACCAATTGGTTCACTTAACAACGCTGGCAAGAAACGGTGCAGCCACGGGGCAAAACTCATTTAACGACCGCCTCGCATAGCAATGGAAACTGGGAGCTCTGCTGTGGTCGTAAGTCGAGGACTCCCTGTAATCCCTCTAACTCCGGCGTCTCCCACCTCGGTCCCTTGAAGACTTGGGGACCTGAACTCCCAGAATTCCCTAGCCAGCAGGCCAGAAGTCATAGGCCCCCTCCCAAAGTGGGTGAAGGAGGGGCGCGGGAAGGGGAGGGGGCCTTCCTGCCCGCTGCCGTCTCACCTGAAGCCGGGGGCTTGGTGATCTCAAACAGCACCGTGCCGGATTCCATATCCCGGATCTTAAAGCGGGTGAAATCGATCTTGAAGACGTTCTCCTCCGGGGTGCACAGGTAATCTGCAGGACGGGGGGAAAAAGCGCCCGTCAGAACGACAACGGCACGGAAAAGGAATGACTTACGACTGGTCCTCGTACTTAGGACGGTTACAGCATCCTCGCAGCAAAATCCGGGTGCTTGGCAACCAGCGGGCATTGACAAGGATGGTGGCCTTTTACACCTGGGCAGGAAGAGCCAAAGGGACAAGCCCAGGTTAGGCGAGGCCTGGCTCAGCAACAGGGACCTCGGAGTCCTCGTGGACGATCCCTTGACTGGGAGCCAGGCAGGTGCAGCCAGCAGCCAAAGAAGCGAAGGCGATCCTGGGTTGTATGAACAGAGGCAGAGGATCAAGATCCCATGAAGGGTTAGTACCTCTTTAGAAAGCCTTAGGAAGGCCACACCTGGAATCCTGCAAGCAATTTGGGCCACCCCCTTCCAAAAAAAGATGCTGAGACTTTGGGAAAAGCGCAGAGAAGAGCAACAACTAAGAGGATCGAAGGCCTGGAGACTAAAACGTACGAAGGACGGTTCCGGGAACCGGGAATGTCTCGTCTGACGGAAAAAAGGACCAGGGGAGACAGGAGAGCATCCTCCAGCATCTCAGGGGCTGCCCCAGAGAAGAGGCAGTCAAGCTCTTCTCCAAGGCACCTGAAGAAGGCAGGACAAGAAGCAACGGATGGAAACTCACCCAGGAGAGAAGCAACCTGGAATTGAGGAGGAATTCCCTGAATGTCAGGACAATCAACCAGGGGAACTACTTGCCACCAGAAGTCGTGGGTGCTCCATCACTGGAGATTTTAAAGAAGAGACTGGACCATCACTTACTTGAAATAGTCTAGGTTCTCCTGCTCGAGCAGGGGGCTGGACTAGAAGACCTCCAAGGCCCCTTCCAGCTTTAGGATACTGAGTGCCATGAGATTAGCTTCCCCGGGGCTAAAAGAGATTCTCCGGCCATAAAGTCAGCCCTGCTGGTCCTCTTACTAGCCAAGGTGGGTTCAGAAAACCCGAGCGAATCCAGCTCAACGGCTGCTTGGAGGGAGAGCCAAGCTGGGCCCAGACGGAGCTAAACTCTCGGGGTTTGCAATCCGAGGCTCACAAGACTGTCCCGGGGGGGGGGG